AGTTCTTATTATCATATTACTTTTCGGTGCATTGTACATAATGTCATACTCCTGACCATATTCACACACCTTACATACACACACAAGAGATACACACACAGTTTATATAAATATCCAGAACACTTTCACTCAGGGTCGCACACTCCGACAGTCCTTTTACTCTCTGTTTCGACTGTGCGTCCTCGAAGCTTCAAAATAAAATCATTAAAAGACCATTCTTGATTATGAATGTTTATTTCATGTGTTTTCAGTATTTGTTCAACAATTTTCCCACAACAATAGCATCACACAGGTTTTTTTTTTGCAGATTTGTCAGGCGCACATTCAAGATGAGACTACTGTTCTACCACATTCCAAAGATTCTTGACAGGATTGAGATCTTGTGACCCTGTAGACCGGCTGAGTCCAGTGAATCCAGACTCATCAGACCAGGCGATTATTCCAATTTCTTATTGTCCAACTTTTTTCATTCATTCAACCTATATTTATACAGGTTAGTCTTGAGTCATTTACAAGAGAGGCCTGTTTTAAGCAAAGAGCAGATGAGGTGCAGACAACAATAAACAATCATATAAAAAGCATATAAAATGAAAAGTAAATAGAAGGAATTATATAAAACCAAAACAAAAATAGCTACATTATAAAGCAATGTAAAATACTAAAAACAGGAACATGTCTGCGTTGGCTTTTGCCACGAACTTAACAGTTGTTTAAAATCCTTTAGAGAGGTCAAGGTCGAGAGCTTCAGATCTTTTTGCAGGGTGTTCCAGGAAACAGGAGCGGCGTAAGAGAAGGCCCTTTTGCCAAGTTCGGTCCACACTGAGGGAACACTGCAGGTAATTATGTCCTGAGAGCGCACGCTGTGATGAGCCTGTGTGAATTGTAGCCTCAGTATGTGGTTCTTATCTGACATGTGTGGCACCTGGTGTGATCTTTTGCTGCTGTTGCCCATCTGCTTCAAGGCTGGACATGCTGTGTGTTCAGAGATGGTATTCTGCAGAGCTTGGTTGGAACGAGTGCTTGTTTGAACCACTGTTGTCTTTCTATCATCTCCATCCAGTCTGCACATTCTCCTATGACCTCACCAACAAGGCTTTTACTGTATGGCCACACAACTACAGCTCAATGGATATGTTCTCTCTTCAGACAATTCTCTTTAACTCCTGGAGATGGTTGTGCTTTAAAATCCCAGTAGATCAGCAATTGCTGAAATACTCAGACCAGGCCATCTGGCATTAACAACTTTTCTTCCTCGTTCGATGCTCGGTTTGAACTTCAGCAAGTCGTCTTCACCACGTCTACATGCCTAAAGGCACTGAGTTGCAGATTTGTGGTTGGCTGGTTAGCTATTTGTGTTAGCAAGCAGTTGAACAAGTGTACCTGATGAAGTGGCCGGTAAGTGTATTTATGTGAAAATATGCAGTAAACCTTATGAAAACCTCTGCTCTGAGATATTTCTCAACCCAATTTGACACATACCTTTTTACTTCCTCCATCATCAGCTGCCTTTGAACAGTTTGAGCCGGTGATAAGGACACTGTGCATCATGTGCCTTCTAATTCACTTTTGGACAGTGTTCCCTCTCATCTGTTTAAGGAAGTTTTTAACACTCTTGGTCCATTAGTTGTAATCCTCATTAACATGTTCCTCTCATCACGCTGTGTTCCAGCTACTTTTAAACATGCTGTGGTGCAGCCACTAATAAAAAAGAAAAACCTCGTCCAACAGTGCTCTTTAACTTTAGACTTATTTTTAAACGCCTTTTTCTGTCGAAAATTTTAGAGAAAGTTGTTTTTAATCAACTTAAGAAAAATTTAACTGCCAACAACATAGGTGAAAAAATTCCAGTCAAGTTTTATATCAGGCCACAGCACATAGACAGCCCTTTTAAGAGTTTTTAATTACCTTCTATTAACCATTGATGCAGGAATCTCTGCTGTTTCAGTGCTTTTAGACCTTTCTGCCTTTGATTCTGTGGACCACAATATCTTGTTGTTGGTATCAAAGGCACAATTTTATTCTGGTTTAGATCCTACCTAACTGACAGGAGTTTTTTCTGTTCATTTAGGTGGAATATTTTTCATCTTTGCCAAATCTGTGGGGTGCCTCAAGGGTCTATTTTAGGTCCACTGTTTTTTAATCTTGACATGTTTCCTTTGTGGTCCATTTTTAGAAAATATAACGTCTCTTCACTGCTTTGCTGATGATATTCAGTTGTATTTGCCCATTAAGTCAGACAGGGTCACTCCACTGGAACCACTCTTCAACTGTCTAAACGACATTAAAGTCTGGTTGAAACTAAATTTCCTGAATCTAAATTAAAATAAAACTGAAGTCATCAGCTTAGGTAAATGTAATGCCCTTGACACTCTTGGCTCCTTGGCTTCATACAGCCACTCCGCCATCAGGAATCTGGGGGTTATTTTCATAGTGCTTTTAAATTTGACTGATAAATGCAGTTGGGAAATTCAGTTTCTTCCAGCTAAGACTCATGGTCAAGGTGAAGTCTTGTCTCCCTTTCAGAGACTTTGAAAAGGTGATTCACACTTTTATTACCTCTTGTTTGGACTGTTGTAATGTTTTATATGTTGGTTTAGATAAATAATCTCTACATTGCTTACAAATCGTCCAGAACACCGCAACTCGTTTTTTAACATGAACACATAACCCCTGCCCTGGCTTCTTGTTCACTTCTGGATTGATTTTAAGATTTTATTGCTTGTTTTGGAAGTCTTAAAAGATCTGGCCCCATCTTATTTATGTGATCTTAACAACTACACTCCAGTAAATGCACTTTATATAAAGAAATCTATAAAGAAATTGATACCAACATTATGTAAACTGGCATTGGACTTTAGTGCAATGTAGGAGCCCGCCACCTATAATCTTGCCTAGGGAAACTAGTTGGTTAGGGCCAGGACTGACTGGTTCTCAAACTTTTTATACCAAGTACCACCTCAATAAGTACTAAGAGCTCAATGTACCACAGTTATCGGACATCAAAGATCAAACTGGCAAAACTACAAACCATGCAGTTTAAGGTGTGATGGTTCCATGTTGAGAACAGCACTACACACACTGAAGTCTTCACTCTTCCTCTGCCTCCCAAAAACTGAATATAAATTTTAGAGAACTTGAATCAAATATCCTCACAGTTTTTCACCTTTTGTTGCTCGGAGGTCCAAAATGGACCACTAAAGTAGCCACTGGCACATCAGCTAACCATTGTCCACTTCAGTTTCCTCAGGGCTTCCCAAACTATTCTTCATTACATTTTCATTTTGAGCATTCTGTTGTAGATTGTAATTCGTGTGAACTACTCATTTTTTCTCAGTTTTTAAACTTTACATCAAAGTTTACACCTCTGGGACATATTAAACTGTACAAAGGTGAATTGTAACAACGGATCCAGATAAAATACTGTGATGGTCCCTTACTTGTGTGGTGGCACAGTGATCCAGTTTGGGCCTGAAGACCTAAGAAGTTCACCACTTAATGAACTTTTTTTCCTAAAATATTCTGAATCAAGTGATTTTATTTGTAATGTTTCAAAACACATTTTTACAATGGGTTACTGGGAGATGATTGAACACCTCTGAGGGCACGTCAGCACAACACTCATCAAAAAAACACCCAGTCTTTTGATACATAAAGTTAATTTAGACGTTTTGTACTCATTTTTGTGGCATTCATAAATGATTGATATAATAAAACAAGATTTTCTCAAGACAACAACAGTATATGGTTATTTTAAAATACAACAATAATCAAAATATTATCTAAATGATGCAAATGTAAATTTCAAATGAAAGAATTAAAACCAAAATTCTTTATCTATGAGTAATGATGTTAGATGTTATTACTGTTTTTCTTATACATTTTATTGTTGGATGTAACTGGGACCTTGTGTACATAATTTCGCTCCACCACATGTACCACATGAGGTGCAAATGACAATAAAGAAACTCTGACTCTGACTGATGAGGACATTAGATAATGGCAAATACAAAAATGAAAATATAACTTTCACTCTGTTTTAAAGATTTTTTAAAAAGCTTTAAATCTAATAATAATAAGCAGTAATGATGATAATAATAACAGAGGTGCTTTTATAGTTTATCACAACAAAACTCTGAACACAAAAGTTAATCTGCATGTCACAAAATTCAATGATTAAAGCGTTTCTTTAAACTAAAACAACAAACATATTAATTCAAACTGAGAAGAAATACTTAAAGCTGTATCTGGACAGAACCTAACAATGAAAAATATAAAAATGTGTCAACTATAAACTGTATGTAGCCATCCTTTAGTGCCAAATATAAAAAGACTTAAAAAGCCCGTCACTATTTTTACAGAAGAAATCGAAAACAAAAAAAATCTAAGAAGAAATCTAAACTTTACACATCCCTTTTCTCTTCCATATAAAATGTAATATCTGCTAATAATATTGACACAACTTTGGATGTATTAACTGTTCTTTTGCTTTCATTGTGTTTGAGTTAGGCAGCACGGTGGCACAACTGGTAGAGCTGCTGCCTCTCAGCGAGCAGGTCCTGGTTCAAACCCCGGTCCAGGGGCCTTTCTGGGTGGAGTTTGCATGTTCTCTCCATGCATGAGTGGGTTTTCTCCGGGTACTCCGGTTTCCTCCCACAGACCAAAAACATGCGTTAGGCTGATTGGTAACTCTAAATTGTCCCTAGGTGTGAGTGAGAGAGTGAATGGTTGTTTGTCTCGTTTGTCTCTATGTGTCCCTGTGATGGACTTGCGACCCGTCCAGGGTGTACCCCGCCCCTCGCACAGTGATTGCTGGACATGGGCACCGGCGACCCCCGTGACCCAAAATGGAATAAGCGGGTAAAGAAAATGGATGGATGAATGGAAGGATGGATGTGTTTGAGTTTTCCCATCATTTGATGGTGGCCTTTTGGTAAAATAATCTTTCACATCATAGCTGACCATCCTAATTTCTCAGCAACATCTTTAGCAGAGTTATTGATTCATTGACACATTTCTTCCAGGCTTTTTATGGCTTCTTCTTTAGAGATTTTAAACCAATCTTGGGGAATCTCTCCATATTTATCAAATCTATATTCATAGTGCTTGACCAGATCTTCTTTAAATCTACACACAAACCATTTCCAGTAGGATAGTTTGGACTCATCAGGGGTGATTCTCCAGGAGGCGTATTCTGGACCAGCAGTTCTGTATAGTTTATAGGGAATGGTTCTGTCTGAACTGTCAGGATAAAAACTGTGATTACTTGCAACTTCTGATGTGCAGAACTCAATGCTGAAGATATCCGTGTTTCTGTAGTGAGTTCCATTGACAGCAGAGGATCGATGGAAAGGTACATTGTGATCATCAGGACTGTGGTCTTCCACTGTGTTTGTACACACAGCGTAACAGAACGGACACTTCACCCAACAGCACTTGCACAGATGTTCAACGAGGATTTCTTCAGGCGTTTTTCTTGCTTTGTTCATTTCATCCAGAGAGAAACTGCTGGTTTGCTTCTTGACTGATTCAAGTTTTTTATCTGCTTCTTTCATGAGGAAGTCAAAGTCATTTATGTCATCAAAGTTTTGAAAACTAGAACTATCAAATCTTAGCTCATCTTTGAGCACACTGGATAATTCATTCAGCCACATGTTTGTGTTTCCATGATGAGTTTGGACTTTCTTTGATGCAGTAAACAAAGCTTGACTCACAAGTGCATGGACATCTTCGAGATGTTTTTTGAAAGTATTTTCTACTTTATCGCTGTGATTTTTGAAGATATAGCCCTGTACTTCTGCTTTTATGAAGGCCTCTGATTGATTCTTTGGATAATGTATGTATTCAATGAAACGCTCAAAGTCCTCTTTCTCAGCGAGTGATTTCAAGAGATGTTTCTCCAAATCTAGTCTGGTCCCACTGAATGTGGGGAAATTACACTTCATCTCTCCAGCAAGAGCTATGGCTGTTTTTGTGTAAGCAACTTCAACGATGGCTGTTTTCAGTTTTTCACAGATGAGTTCAGCAAGGACTACTGCAGAGGAACTTCCTTGACAAAAGATTTTGAAAACATTGTAATATTCCTCTTTTTTGTTTTCCAGGTAAATGAGTGCATCATTGTTCTTTTTGAATTTCTCCTGGGACTCCAGAAGCCATTTTTTGGCAAAGTCAAACACATATAGGATGAGATCAATTGTAAACTCCCTTTTTAAAGAATATTTCCACTCAGATTTTTCCACATTTTCTATGACTAGTTGGATCATTTCTTGCAAGTACGTTGCTTGGTAGCCTCTTGTAGCAACAGGGTTTTTTTTAATTGCATTGAGGGACATTTCTGTAGCTTTGGTAATGAGTTCCCTGATCTGTTCTTGCTTTTGATAAGAAAGATCACTGTCAGAGTTCTGATTCTTTGACGAGCCAATGTTAAAAATTCCTTTGAAAAATGTAAATACTGCATTTCCTGGTTTGTCTGTGTCTTTGTTTTTTCTCTCATCATTTTCAGGTTGTCCACTTGATTCATGGAGATGTTTCTTATGGAAGATGATATAATCTTTATAGTTACCCATTTTAGAGATGTTTTTGTATCTTCCACGTGTTTTGGATTCATCGATGTGTTTTTCTTCCACACCAAGTTCTCTAAGGATGGTTGACAGATCCTCTTCCAAGTTGATGTCCGCAACAGGTTCTGTATTTCTTGTTAATTCAGTAACCCAGGTTTTCCAAACTGAGCTGAATTCCTTTAGCAGTTCTTTTTCATCTTTGGCCTTATCTTTTAACTGCTGAGCTAGTTCTTTGCTCTTCAGTAGCAGTTTAGTCTCGAAGACTGTCTTCTTATCGTCCATCTTTTTCCGAGCATTCTTCTGTTCAATAATTTCATCCAGTTTTCTTTTAACTACTTTCACCTGTTCATCACGAAACTCTTTGAACTTGCTTTCAAATCGGCCTCGCCACTGAACCAACATTTCCTTCTCCTTTTCATCCTCAAAGTACCTTATCATTTTCGTTTTAATGTCTTCAAATGTTGTGTCCGTTTCTTGATTGAGATAACTTGTCTCAATCTTGTTATGGTCTCCATTTTCAATTCTGTTATAGAGCTGGTTTTCAATGGCCAACATGTTGCTCCTGATGGCCCAGGTCCAGTTTCCATACTGGACCTCAAGTTTCCTGTACACTGCAATTTCCAGTGTGTTTTTAAAGCTGAAAACAAAATTTTCATTTAGAAGTGCCATCCACAGGTCCTGAATATTAGAGTTGAGCTGTGAAAGACTGATCCCATCGGACTTTGAAGCTTTAGAGAGAATAACATTCTTCAGTTCTTGGATGCTCTCACTGTAACCTGGATTTGGAGGAGCCATAGGTGGACTGCCTTCCCACAGCTGGGCTAAGTACTTTACATCTGTTTGGACGTCAAATTCAATAACATCACTGAAGCACTCTGCTTCACAATCCTCTTCTTTGGCTGCTAGTTTGGTCATTTCGTCCAGTTTTTCTTGCAGGCGTCTTTTTCCATCCATGTTTTTTTCTGCTGCTGCAACATCTGTGACATTCTGATGAACAAAAACGCAACTTGGAGTAAGTTTAACTCTTTTCATTCTCATGAAAGCTTGAACAACAATCTGCAGAACATCTTGCATCTCAGCTGGATTCTCTCCAAAGATGTTGATCAATGTCATGTTTCCCACACCAACAACAAATGTTGCCAGTTCGTTGTCATGATGAAGAGATGTGTTGCCTCCTAGCTCAAGAGCACGCAGTCCTTCAGTGTCCACCACTAAAATATAGTCAAACTTAAAGCCCTTCTTGATCTCAGCTGATAATTTGACCAGCTGCATGAAGGCACCTTTGGTGCACCTGCCAGAACTCACTGCAAACTGTAGTCCAAACATAGCATTCAGCATTGTAGATTTTCCACTGCTCTGTACGCCCAGAACTGACAGCACAAACACTTTCTGGTCACCTAGCTTCTTGATGACTTCCTCTAAAAGACCAGAAATCCACTTCAGAGGAACATGACCTGCATCTCCATCCAGCAGCTCCAAAGGTTGTCCAGAAATCAGTAGATCTGCAGCTAGCTTTGGGTACTTGGACCAATTCCCCCGTCTGCTGTTTGGGTGACATGTTTTTTGAGCCTCATAGATCTGCCCTATTTCTCTAAAAATGTGCTCCAAGCCAAACGTTGCAGATTGCAGCTTTTTTGATAAGCATTCAAGCTCTGCTTTTTTGGCTTCCAAAACGTCTGATTTGACGTGTTTGTTCTTCAAAGCCAACACCTCAGACCAGGTGTTATCATAGTTTTGGAGAATCGAAGAAATATCGTCTGTGGAGAGGGCATCTGTCAGAATCTGAGTCCATTTCAGAAAATATTCGTCTTTTGACCAGTGGCTTTCAGTGAACAACTTTATCAGTTCACTGCAGGAAACAGCACATTGTTCCTGACGTAGTTCCATCAGTTGTCTTTCCTTTATTGATTTTTCCTTTTCAATGGACTGTCCTTTGAGATGATAGAGATCTTTGTTTATCTGGCACCACTTGTGCAACAGTTCACCTTGACAAGGAAGAAATTCATCTTTGATTGTTGAAACGTCTTTATCCTGAAGCAAATTAGCTATTTTCGTAGCAGAAATCTTTCCATTTTGACACTCACGGTTACTTTCATCTACCTTGATTCCAGAGACCTCAGCCATGGTTTCAAGCTGGAAGGACGTTTTCAAAATGGAGGGATCATCAGAAGACAAAACTTCTTTAATGATTCTTTTAAGTTCTCCCGAAACATCTGACTGGCTTCTTTTTTTAAGTCCCATTTTGTATTTTCCCTTTTTAATTTGAACAGCATCACAAGCATCATCAACAATGAGACAAATCAGAGGCTTTTTCATTTTAAAGAGTGCTGCTGTTATTGGCCAACTCTTGTCATTTTTTTGGAGCTTTGGCACCAGCACAACATTAATTGATGATTTTTCGATCAATATGTCTCGTTTTTCAATCATCAAAGCATCCCCATGAAGATTACAAAAGGCAATGCAGTCATTGAAGGCATCGTTGGGTTTTCCAGCAGGGCAGTACCAGGCAATCTCTGTAACACCGTCCATTAAATAACAAGATTTGGTGCTTCCAGCACAGTTTCTATGGAAGAACGTGCTGTGGCGGTCATTGATCAAAGAGTTCATTAGCTCAGACTTAGACACTGATAGTGAACCCAGTCGGAAAAAAGACACCATGGGTGTCTCAGCTTTGTAGATTGGAATACTCTTCATGGTGATATTTGAATCACCTTTGGTTACCTTCCATGTTTTTGTTATCTGTCTGAAGGCCCACAAAGGACACTCAGTTTTCCTTGTAAATGGATCAGGAACAAGTAACGGTAAGGCATACTGGCACTGTGACAACTTTGTTATCATGAGCTGCCTGAGGAAGCTGTCTGAGCAGTGAAATACTGCCATCTGAACATCCATCGGATGTACATGAGTCGGTTTGAGCGGATTTGTGGTTACAGTGGTTTCCAAAAGGTCCTCTAGATCATCATCTGTTTCACTTGTGTCAGACATCAAAACAGGCTTCGGATCAGTAACTTCAATAATGTCTTGTTTAACAGGAATATATCTGGCTCTGTAATCTAACATAATTAACTTGTGAAGATAACGATATGCTAGGTCTTTTTCAGATGTGTCATAGCACTGTGTTATAATTTGACTTATTTGAAGAAAGTCAGCTTTGGACATCTTTTGTTGAAGTTTATTCTGAAGGTGAAGTCTGCCAAACAGTGTTTCTATTTCTTCTTGTTGCTGCTTCTGAAAGATTTCATCTGAATCCTTTACTGGCTGCTGACATATTTCATCTGAATCCTTTACTGGCTGCTGACAGATTTCATTTGAATCCTTTACTGGCTGCTGTAAAATGCAAAGATAAACTGTGTTTTAAAAACAAAAATAATTTTATAGGAAAAAATAAATAGTTGTTACTATGTGAAATACATGTTGGGTTTGTGTAAATGGACTGTACTTATATTAGGCCTTTCTATCTTATTTCAAGACACTCAAAGTGCTTTACACTACAATCTGTGTCCTCATTTACCCGTTCGTACAGCACTCTACATCTCTACAAAGATAATTGAACTAATCATTCTAATGAGACTAATCAGTGCTTTATCTCACATTCAAACACTGATGGGACACACATCAGAGGCTATGAGGGGTTCAGTGTCTTGCCCAGGGACACTTCAGCATGTGACTGCTGGTGGATTCGAACCCCCAACTCTCGCATTGGAGGACTACTGCTCTAACCACTCAGCCACAGCCGCCCCATCTGTGTCCATCTGGTAATGTTGTTTTTTAGTCTTGGTCATCATAATAAAGATATGGACAGTACAGTTCATCATGCTGGGTTTAGGAATGAAAAGTATGCAGGTGTGCTAATGTCTAAAATGACGTGCTATGGTGTGTCTAAAATGCGCAGTAAAAAATCTTTAATTTAAGCCACATTTGAGTGTCATTTTTAAGGCAAGCCTAAGATCTTAAATTTGTAACACAAAGTCAACCACATTCAAACTATACTTTTAAAAACTCTTACAGACAATAAAATGCTTCTTTTCAACACCAGTAGTAGAATTCCTAGCCTCGGAGCCAAAAAATGTTTGATGGCAAAAAAGGCTTTAGTTTTAAGCAGTAAATTAATTTTTATAAACAACTTGGAGCTGTTTCCTACCTTTGCTGTGTTTCCACATACTTTCTCATTTGACGTTCCTGCAAGAGAAAAATAAAGCATAATTGTTGAATTTATTAAAAAATGTATTTAACCCCAACACCCCCACTACATGGCAGGCAGCTCTGCTAGGAGAGCGTAGATTGTAGCAGCTCCGCTCAGACCTAGCATTTGTACTGTAACCCTAAGAGGTCTGAGAGGTAAGACTAGATAGTCAGACTCACCTTGCATGTCTGCATTTGATACAGTTGATCATAATATTCTATTATAGATACTTGAATATGATATTGGTATTACAGGAACCGCTCTAAATTGATTTAAGCCATATCTATTTGATAGATTCCAATTTGTAAATGTAAATAATGAATCTTCATCATACACCAAAGTTAGTCATGGAGTTCCTCAAGGTTCAGAGCTTGGACCAATACTCTACCTTGTATATGCTTCCATTAGGTAATGTTATTAAACAGCATGAGATAAATTTTCATTGTTATGCTGATGATACACAGTTATATTTGTCCATGAAACCCAATGAATCCAATCAGCTACTTCGACTACAAGCATGTCTTAAAGACATAAAAACCTGGATGACCCTAAATTTTCTGCTTTAGAACACAGACAAGACTGAGGTTTTAGTTTTTGGACCTGAGCCTCTTAGGAATAAATTTTTCAGTCTTTTGCCCTCCTTGGATGGTATTAATCTGGACTCCAGCTCTAATGTTAAAAATATTGGTGTTATTTTCCATCAGGACATGTCTTTTATCCCCCACATTAAAACATTACTAGAACCGCCTTTTTCCACCTGCGTAATATCACTAAAATTAGAAACATCTAAAAATGATGCAGAAAAACTGGTTCATGCATTTGTCACATCTATCTTGGATTTTGGATTTGGATTCAGTTTGTGATAAGGAATGTTCTCATCTACAGCCTCACCAAATTTCAGAAGTGTCAAAATAGCTGAGTTAAAGCCATTTAAAAGTAGCATTGGTGGCCGTCATGGATTTTTGTTTTTGATACAGCATTGATAGGAAATATTCTCAGCTATCACCACACCAAGTTCCAGCTCAATATCACTAAAACTGGACGATTTATAGTGTTTTTCCTTTTTTTTTTTTTTTTTTTTTTTTTTGCTTAGGCGGCCATTTTGGATTTTGATTTTCAGTCAGAGTCTAAGGATCGTCAGCTACCAATATGACAAATTTCAGCTCAGTATCTTTAAAAATAGCTGTGTTATTGTATTTCTTCTCTTTCAGCTAAGGTGGCCATCTTGGATATTTGATTTTCATTAGGAATGTATAACAACTCGCTTTCAGCTACAATCATACTTAATTTCAGCGCAATATCTCAAAGAATGACCGAGTTAGTCAATTTTGTGTTTGCTGAGGTAGCTGCGGCAGCCATCTTGAATCAAAATGGCTCCAAACGTTAATCAGTTCTAGACATTTACCTGATGATTACTTTCTGTGAGTTTCAAACATATCCAACAGTGTTTCTGTTTTCTTCAGGGACATCTACACTCTAAGTCATGTGACTTGACAGCAGCAGTTAGTGAGGAGTGTCCTCTCATTCCTTTCCTATGGGGAAATATGGCGTCCTTGTTAGCAAAATATGCTGCCATGGTAAATCCAATTTCCAATACGAGTAGTAGCTCCCTTTTCGAGATTGTGCCGGTCGTTTTGACATAACTTTTGTGGGGGTGCACATTGCGGTTCGGGCCGCATTGAGGGAGATGGAAGAAAAATAAATAAACAAACACTTATTAGGTGTAGAATAATAGGTACCTTCCATGCATTGCATGGAGGTAGTGCATTGCCCACTGCTCTCCTATGCATTGCAATGGCAGTCCCCATTAATGTCCAATCCCATTCTCTCCCCCCACATATTAAAGAAGTTGGGCTGAGCTGCCCAACTTAGTGGCTTAACTGACAGGAAAAGTATTGGATTTTTGACACTAAATAATAAATATTGATATTCCTTATTTTTCTTAAGAAGACTTAAGTACCGGTAACTTTCTATTACCGTAAAAAACAACAACTCACCTGTTTGATCTTTCAACTCTCCCAGCGATGTGGACTCCCGAGGTTTGTCCTCTGCTGGATTTTCACCACACACCAGTCCACTGTAGCAGCATGGACTAATTTCAGAGACCATAATGTTTATTTTTTTCAGTAGATCTGCTATCTCCTCTGCCTCTGCCATAGTCCTTGTACATGTGTGATATCTTTTTTCATCAAAACCGTCAAAAGTTTTCAGGTCTTTTAATGCACCATCACACTCTTCACCTGAATTAGAGGTCACAACTGTCATTAAATATGCCAGTGATTGTCTGCCAAATGTTTTTTCTAACCACTGCACTCCTGATTTATAATGGCTGCCATGTTGGCCTTTTGGGATCAGGAGGAGAAAGACATTCGTTTTCTGATTTAAAGAGATGTTTTCAATGCTTTGTTGACCAAGTAAGTTAACAACACATATGTGCTGACCACACAAGTCATAAAGTTTGGATGAAAAATGTCTTTGCTCATCATCAAGTAAGATGTTGTTTGCTCCAGCCTCAACAGAAATCATATCTCCAATTACTACAAGTGTGAGGGCACAATCAGCTGAAACAAAGAAGAAAAACACACGGGTGTTTTACTGCAGACATAATGTTTGATTCAAACTGGTTTGAAATTTTATAAAATTGATGAATTAAACAGACGAGTTGATCCTCACTTGGTCCACTTGTGTCCATTGGTGTGTCCATCTCCTCCGCAGACTTATCTGTAAAATACAATTTCACAGTTCTGCTCATTTTATAAAGGTTAAATAAAATGTGGAAGGTTAAATTTTCTATTCGTTCTGAGTACACTACCTTTGTCTTCGGCTGCGGATGGAACCGATCCGTTTGCAGACTCTCCGTGTCCATGGTTCTGTGCTGGGCGTTGAACTTCACCAGGTTTGTCCATTACCTCAGAATTAAAAATATATATTTTAAAGGTATTGTTTGAAAAATTGTTTTTGTTTACAGTTGACAGTAAAAAAAAAGTTTATTTATGAGTTGACAAAAAAGAAAAACACTATTACTTCAAGTGTTAAAAATACAAAGGGATTGAAGAAAAGTTAAGCAAATTTATTATAAAAATATTTTATTTAAAAAAAAAATATATATATATATATCAGAATTAGAATAAACTTTATTGGCATTGCACCGTGATACAAAGCGAACATGTACGTACAGTCGTCCGAAAGATGGGCAGAGTGCACGAAGCTGCAACTATAAAAAAGCACGGCCCTCTTATTCTTATTCAGATTAATATTTTGCTTAGATAAGAAAAGGAAAGAAAACATGAGGAGAGACGGTATAAAAAAAGATCTCTCACGCCGTGTATGTATTATTATTATTTTTTTGTAAACACTTTATTCTAATTTGTTATTTTTCCAACACGCGTACAATTTTGCTATTATTGTCATAGATGCAAACTGTATATTTTACTCCATTCAGTAAATTTTATTTATTTTCTATAAACTGTGTGCAATTTCTTCTGTTGTTACTCACATTTAGGCTCCCAAGAATCCAGAGTCCTGTGATCGGGCCCAACATTTCTTCCTAGGTGTTAGTATTGGTAATAGTAATTTTAGTAACTTACTTTTACCATATCGGCTAACTCCTAAACTAACTCCAGAGTACTGTACTTGAAGGAACAGTGGAGACAGTGGAGAGCATCCTGTGCTCCAGCATTAACGTGTGGCATGGAGGCTGCACAGCTGCAGAAAGAAAAGCTTTGCAGAGAGTGGTGAAGGCTGCACAGAAGATGTTGGAGTCAGTCTCCACACCATCACAGACATCTACACCTCTAGATGCAGTAAATGGGCCACCTGCTTCATGAAGGACCCCACTCACCCAGCACACACACACTTTTTGTCCCACTCTCCTCAGGAAGGAGGTTAAGGAGCATTAAGTGTAGAACCACTAGACTGAGGAACAGCTTCTACCCTGAGGCTGTTAAGACTCATGAATCTCTAACCAGAGCAATCACTGTAAAATTACATCATGTTGCTGCTGATCTGTTTCATGTTGCTGCTGATCTGTTTCATGTTGCTGTGTTCATCGTACTCATCTGCTCACACAGACTCATGTTCGTGCTGCTGTTTGATGTAATGTTTATGCTATTAGTGCTTAGTGTATTATTTAGCTGATGTTTTTCTTAGTTCATATCTTAGATCTTATTACTGTTTTTCGTTGACATTTTATTGTTGGATGTAACGGGGACCCTGTGTACATAATCTCGTTCCACCACATGTACCACATAAGATGCGAATGACAAATAAATCTCTCTGACTCTCTGACACTCACTCTGACATATATGCACACACACATTTAGCTACATTTACATGGACCTTGCATTAACTTCTATTCATTTTTCATTCAATAGCCTAACCCTAACCATAACCAGTGCATAACTAACCTAATCCTAACCCATCTTCAATTAATGCCTTAATCTTAAACCTAACCCTTAACCCACAAATGTCATTGCTTCTTATGGGGCCTGTGCTTTGGGCCCCATAAGAAGCAGTAGGTCCTCAAAAAGTATGTGTTGGACAAATGGGTCTCACACGGTAACAAACGCAAAGACATACATCCTTGAGACACTTGGCACATTCCATAGTTTTGTCAAAAAACAGCTTTAAAGCAATCCAACCTTTTTCAGTCAGGTCATCTGGACAGTAGGGCATTAACAGAGTACTCGAGTAATCTACACATCGATTGCTAGGACCTCTATCGAGGTTAAAAATTTAACATCGAATATCCGTAGTGACGTCATATTATGTGACCACCGTATGATCGTAGGGGGCGGTGTTGCACTGTTGCAGGTCACAGAGTTTGGTGTAACACCGGGTCCAATCCACAGAACCAGAACCAGTTTCGGTTTAAGTTTCGTTTTTGACGTGCTGCACGTTTCTTCACGTTTGCAGTTTAATAATAAAAACTAATAGTTTAGTTTTTCCTGTGACTTATTTGCAGTATGATAAATGGTAGGAGCATAATATACGCTCCCAATGTTTTGTTGGTCTTTTTTGCTGTTGTAAATAATTACCTTTTTTGCGGTTTTATTTATTTTTGTATATTGAGCTCTATGACGGTGTTGGATTTAATATTTTATACCTTTTTATAATTCCTATCAAGCACTCAAATGTCATGTCATATAAAGTGTGTGTGTGTCTTTCTTCCAGGGTTGAACTATGTTTATAGAAAATGTTTGCTAATTCTAACTAGTTGACCTTTAAATATAATCTCATAGGAGCTAAGGATAATTTTACAAGTTCACATTTGATAGATTACAGACAATCAAATCAGGCCTTTCAGAACAGATTAGAGCAGAGATTGATTAACATAAATAAAGCTAGAACACATCTCTTTAATTTAGACAATATAGTTTGACTAAGTAAAATCAAATTAAAAGTATAAAAATGATCCAAATAATAAACACAAACATGAGTTAGATAATAATAATTAAGTTATTAATTATTCCTAGAAATAAACAACTTTATTTCTAATCAGTTGGTATCACTAAGGTATAATCACGTTAAACAAACAGCGTTAACAGTTTAAACGCAGACAAGGAAACTAAGATGAATCTGCCTTAAAAAACAGAATCACCAGGCCTTCAACAGATATTGAATTAACACCCAGGAGGTAGGTAATAATTAATAGTTATTAATTATTACGTATAAACAATTTAGACACGAATCATTTTATATCCCTAAAGTTTAATAGCAAGTTAAACTTTAAACAAAAGCCGATTTCGGTGTACCAAAACTTATCTGAAATATAGACGTTAACGTCCTTGAGGGGGCGGGCTAAGTCGTAACCATAGCGACAGAAGCTGAACCAATCAGGAAGCTAGCTTTCTCAAACGGGGATAAAAGGCCGGAAATGACGCACGCCCACCGAACATTTTCCGGGAGGCGCACATGGCGACGGTTCGTCTTAATGCTCCATTTATATGCATATATCTTATTAATGTAATTGTTTGTCTCTGAATATCTGTAACCCATGTTGTGTCAAATAAATCTTTTATACGAAGGGCGACGCCTCAGCCGTTTTGAACACGACGTGGTATTCTAACCACAACAACGGACAGTTTTGTTTTTTTTGTGTGTGTGCTGAAACGTTTCACCTTCCATCCAGAAGGCTTCATCAGTCAAGGAAACACACAACACAAAACTGATTCTTCCCCCAACAGCTTACTCCAAAGTGGAACAAACCAGTTAAGTTGGTTTTGAACCAGTTTGACATGACTGTCCACGAGGAAGAAGGCCTGCACCGAAGGAGGTGGTGTGCCAAAAACACCATCTTAGCTCCAACAAACAAACAAATATAGCAACCCAACAGCAAGTTTATTAAATGCTGCGGTCAAAGGAAAAATAAACTAATTAAAATCGGTTTACCATCCTTTTGTGTAGTGTCGTGGTGTTCAAACAGCTTCAGGAGTCACCTTATTAATAAAAGATTTATTGGACACAAATTAACAAGTATTCAGAGTTCATGAAACAGACATTATCAGTATGCATACTGGAGCAATTCACCAACAGACCTGATCAGAAGAGTTCATCAGAGAAGTGCTGCTGTCCTTTCTCTGTAGACGTGTTTTATTACCGATTTGAACACTTCTGCCCTTTGATTGGTCTAACCTGAAGTTGTCATGGTAACAGTCTTCTCTGCTCAGGGACATCCTGACCCTCCACATTCCTTGAGATAAGATATTTTATGGCCTGCAGGAATTCGGTTTAGTTTTAGCTGTTTTCAGTTTAACCTAATTATACTTTAAGGATACCAATTAGTTCTGATCTAAAGTTAGTTTCTTTCTAGGGAATAATTAATAACTATCAAATTATGATTGTCAGGTTACTTGCTACCTTTCTCTGCTGTCTACTAATTTTATTTAGTCAAACTATCTTAAGTCTACTTTATAGAGTATAAAGTGTTTGGAATTAAAGAATGTCTTACCTGTCCTAGAGTCTGTTGTGATTCGCTTGTACTTATACCCAAATGTAAGTTTCTAACATTGTGAACACGATTAATTCTAACTAAAGTGAGATTATATAAGTAAGATAATTGATTAACATTCTGATTAACCTTTAAATGATTGTACGGTTAGTATAAACCTCAATAATGACACCCAGACACCTCATTTTAATACATGGCATATCAAACTTGATTAAAATTATACTGAAGGATAAACCTGAAATAATTTCAAACTTGATTAAAATAATACTGAAGGATAAACCTGAAATCAT